TGAGGGCAACAAATGTATAGATGTGCTTTACACAATTGATCTATGTATTGTGATGAATTGTATGAGCCCCAATAAATTGATTTTTTTAAAAAGTAAAGAATGTCAACCTGGAGTACTCCACTCTTTTAACAAAAATCTATATGAGATAAAATGGGCCATGTTTACTCTAATGTATGAATGAGAATGATCTGGGGCAATGTGAGTGGAAAAAAATTGTTATTTTTAGGTTCTACTTGTCAGTTCTGATTCATAGTGACCTTGTGCACAACAGAAGGAAACTCCGCTCTGTTTCAAGAATAGTCCTGCAACATCCTCACAATTGATTTAATATGTTAACACATTATTGCAGCCACTTTGTCTTGTGGAGGTCCTTCATCATTTCTGCTGCCTCTCTACCAAATATGATGTCTTTTTCCAGGTACTTGAATTTGCTGATAACATGACAAAATTATGTGAGACTAAGTCTTTCCATCCTTTCCTCTAAAGAGCAGTCTGCTTGTATTTCTTCCAAGACAGATTGGTTTTTATTTTTGACAGTCTATGGTATTTTGAGTGTTCTTTGTCACTACAATCAATTCTTGTTCGATCTTCCTTATTCAATGTCTATCTTTTACATACTTTTGAGGCAATTGAAAAGGCTGAGCATGATAGTGGAACAAAAGGAATGTAAAAGGCAATAGAGGAAAGAACTAGGAGGCATAGGGTATTTATAGATGTCTAAATACAGGCATGTGCATATGTAAATATATTTATATAGGATGGTGGGGAAATAGGTCTACATGCATATATTTATAGGTTTAATATTAAGCCAGCAGATGGACATTGGACCTCCACTCAAGTACTTCCTCAACACAAGAACAGTTTGTTTTATTAAATTGGCATTCCATGATGCACACCTTCCCAACACGATCTCTGAAGACAAATGTGTGCATAATCAAATGTGGTGAATAAAGCTGATGGTGCCTGCCTATTAAAAGAGATAGCATCTGGGGTCTTAAAGGTTTGCAGATAAATAAGCAGCCATGTAGCTCAGAAGCAACAAAGCCCACATGGAAGAAGCACACCAGCCTGTGTGATCATGAGGTGTTGAAGGGATCGGGTATCAGACATCAAAAACAAAAAAGTATATAATTGTAAATGAGGGTGAGTGCAGAGGGGAGACCCAAAGTCCATCTGTAGGCAACTGAACACCCCTTTACAGAAGGGTCACGGGGAGGAGAAGAGCCAGTCAGGATGCAGGATAGCAACAATGAAACATACTTCACTCTAGTTCTTAAATGCTCTTCCCCCAACTATCATGATTCCAATTCTACCTTACAAATATGACTAGACCAGAGGACAAACAGTGGTACAGATAGGAACTGGAAACACAGGGAATGCAGGACAGGTGATCCCTTCAGGACCAGTGGTGAGAGTGGTGATACCTGGAGGGTGGAGGGAAGTTGGGGTAGAAAGGGGGAACCAATTCCAAGGATCTACATATAACCTCCTCCCTGGGGGATGGACAACAGAAAAGTGGGTGAAGGGAGATGTCAGACAGTGTAAGATATGACAATATAAAAATAATTTGTGAATTATCAAGGGTTCATGAGGGAGGGCGAAGCGGGGATGGAGGAGGGAAATGAGCTGATATCAAGGGCTCAAGTAGAAAGCAAATGTTTTGAGAATGATAATGGCAACAAATGTAGAAATGTGCTGGACACAATGGACATATGTATGGATTGTGATAAGAATTGTATGAGCCCCTAATAAAATGGTTGGAAAAAAAAAAAAGAAGAAAATACCATGCCTGGAGTCAAGCAAACTTTAGTTCTCAAAGTCCTCAGCATGGGAAAGAGTTCTTGTGCATCCTATGTAACCAACACAAGGCATCTTTTGATCTCTTGACTGCTATTATGAATATTAATTGTGGATCTAAGCAAGATGAAATCCTTGACAATTTTGATATTTTTTATCATAATGTTTGTCCCGTTTTTGAGGATTTTGGTCTTCTTTACATTGAGGTGTAATCCATATTGAAAACTGCGATCCTTAATATTCATCAGGAAGTGCTACAAGTCATGCTCACTTTCAACAAGCAAGATTATACCATCTGCACATCACAGGTTGTTAATAAACCTCTCTCCATTACTAATGCTGATTCCTTCATATACTGGAGCTTTTCTGATTATTTGCTTGGTATACAGAATGAATATGTGTGATGAGAGAATACAACCCTGTACACACATTTTCCTGTTCTTAAATGAGTCAGTATTGCATTATTCTGTTCATGCAACTGTCTCGATAAATGTACTGTTGTGCACGAGTAAAATGAACAGTTTGGGAACTCCCGTTCTTCTTGAAGCTATCCATAATTTTTTTATGATGCACACAGTCAAATGCCTGATATAGTCAATAAAAACAAGTAAATATCTTTCCGGTATTCTCTACTTTCAGCAATGATCTATCTGACATTGACAATCATACCTTCTTTCCATGTCCTCCTCTGAACCTGATCTGAACCTCTGACAGCTCCCTGTCCATGTACTGGGGCAACTGTTGGATGATCTGCAGCAAAACTTTGCTTGCATGTGATTTTTTAAAAAATATTTTATTAGGGGCTCATACAACTGTTATCGCAATCCATACACACATCAATTGTGTAAAGGGCATTTGTACATCATTCTCAAAACATTTTCTCTCCAC